TTTTTGTTGCTAGTACATAGGCATACAATTGATATTTTAATATTGATCTTGTGCCTGTGGCCTTGCTAAATTTGTTCATGTGCCTACTAGCTTTTTTTAAATTTATTAAAGTATCATTGATATACAGTCTTATGATAGTTTCTCATAAACAACACAGTGGTTTCCACATTCACCGATATTATCAAGTCCTCAGCCCCTCTATTGAGGTCACTGCCTATCAGTGCAGTAAGATGCCATAGGGTCATTACTTGTCTTCTCCGTGCTGTACTGCTTTCCCCGTGACCTACTCATATTGTGATTGTGAATTATACTGCCCCTTAATCCCCTTCTCCCTCCCCTTTGGTAACCACTAGTCCCTTCTTGGTGTCTATGAGTCTACTGCCATTTTGTTCCTTCGGTTTTGCTTTGTTTTTATACCACAAATAAGTGAAATTATATGGTATTTGTCTTTCTCTGCCTGGCTTATTTCACTGAACATAATACCCTCTAGATCCATCCATGTTGTTGTAAATGGCAGTATTTCTTTTATTTTTATGGCTGAATAATATTCCATTGTGTGTAAGTACCACAATTTCTTATGTATTATCTACTGACACTTAAGTTGCTTCCATAACTTCATAGGCCTAGTAGCTTTTTTATGTGTGCATTTCTTGGAATTTTCTCCATACACAATCATCTTTGAATAAAGACAGATTTATTTTCTCCTTTCCAATCAGAATGGTTTTATTTTGGTGGGTCGTGGGGTTATTCCACTGGCTAGAACCTCCAGTACAATGTTGAATACAAGTGGCAAAAGTGGACATCCTGCATTGTTCCTGGTATTAGGAAAACCATTCACTCTTGCACCATTAAGTGTTATGCACACTGGGAGTTTGTGTAGACACTTTTTATTGGGTTGAGGAAATTCCCTTCTCTTCCAAAGCTGTTTTTTTTTTTTTTTATCATGACTGGGTGTTGGATTTTGTCAAATCTGTTTCCTGCATCTGCTACAATGGTCATGTTTCCCCCCTTGTTCTATTAATATGGAATATAACATTCATTCATTTTTGGGTGTTAAACAAACTTTGCATTCCTGGGATAAATCCCTCTTGGTCGTGGTATATATCTCTTTTGAACCAGGCCTTGCCTAGTCTCCCCACTTTCAGTTCACAGAGGCAGAAAAAAAGAATTCCGTGTTGTGGGTGTGGAGCCGCCAGCCTCTTAAAGGACTGCAGCCATTCTCAACAAGCCACCACTTCCATACCAGGCTCCCAGCCTTCCAGGGACCTCACAGAGCAGCCCCTTGAGTCCCGAAGCACAGAGTGCCTGGAATCCACCCCATTTTGCTAGGGCCCCCACATTTGCATCCCCATCAGTGATGGGAGGAGTCAGAATGTCCCTGCCCCTAGTGGCCACAGGAGCTGTCCGCTGCACCCCATTGCCTGCAAGAGGTGAATTCATGAGCGAGCTGGGGTGGAGGCAGAGTCTCTTGTGGGGCACAAAGGCTGAGGAATTGAAGCAAGAGACCTGTGCCCTGAGAGGTCTCTGTGCCCTGAGGGCATCCGCGAGGCAGCAACTGTTAAAGCGGCAGGCCTCCTGTGGCACACTTCCAGGTGGCGACAAGGACAGACCCATGCTCAGGCATCTAACCTGGTCTATGGCTTCTTCTGCAGAAGGACTCCATGGAGGGAGGTTGGCCTGAATAGCTCGGGGGCGGGAGGGGCCCGTCAGGGACTCTCTCACTCACTTTGTCCCCAGAGGAGCACCCCCGACCCTGGCTCCCGGCTGCAGGGGTGGCTCATTCTTGTGTGCACTGGGGAGTGTCCCCAGGTCCCCAAGGGCCACGCCTGCTTCCACATAAGCCCCAAAGTGCCCTGTCTGTCCAAAGTGGCAAAAGTGGCAGCAGAGAAGGCTGTGGGTGCTCCCCTCCCCTGCATTCCCCAGAGGCTGGGGCAGCAGATTCCTCCCCATATTTCCAGCACAGTGCAGCTCCCTGATTTGAGGGTGCATTTGACTGCGGGCTCACACCTTGAGCCATAGATCCCATCCATAAGAGGGCAGGGGCTTCCTTTAACTTCTTACCTTTGCATCCTGAAAATGGGTCCTGGAGATACTGGCAATTTTATTTTGGACTATGTACCCATTGGGAATAAGTGCCCTATCAGTTAGGCATACTTTTCTATTTATATTAGACAGCAGTGCTTAGAAATGACACTGAAACCAAGTTCTTCTATTTTTCCATTGCCAAAGGTGGATTCTGTGATGGCAGAGGCCTGGTATGTCCCTTAACTGACCCTCAGAAGCAGCAGGGCCAGCAGGTTAATGGGCTTGATTTAAACTTACAATTGAGTCCCCTTTCCCTGCCTGTTCTGTTTCTACTCTCTACACCATTTATCATCACCTCCCATCTCCTGCCCAGTTTGCTAAGCAGTTAGATTTATTCTTTACATCTGTCTTTTTCCCCCTGCCAGAAGGTATACTCCACAAGGACAGGCCATTTTTGGTCTGTTTCCTCACTAATGCATCCCCAAGCACTTAGAAGAGTGTCCGGCACATACCAACCACACATTAAATATTATGAAATTCCATGAATGAGTGATCTGGTCAGCAATGATCTTTAGTTGCGGTTAATTCTTCACTCATTCTCTAGGAATAAAATTGTCACATAACCCAGGAAGACCTCAGTTGGTTTTTTCATCCCAAATATCTCCAGATCTGCTGCACGTGAGCCCAAAAGAGGTTAGAGAACTACTTTGTTGGCAAGATGCAGCCCAACTCCAGACAGGAATGACGGGTCAAACCTGCGCCCCAGGAAAGGAAGGCAAGCTTCTCTCCCAAGGCATGATGGCACTGAAATTCCCCCAGTTTTTCTCGGTGGGAGTGCTAGGATATGTATAAGTCTAAATGTGTGTGCTCACACATACATACAAACTTCTTGCAGATATATATTATCTCTATGTTGATGATATATACGTATTTGTCTGTATGTATGATGAAATAGTATCCCCCCAAAGCTCATGCCCACTGAGAACCTCAGAGTGTGACTTTATGTGGAAGCAGCCTTTGAGTTTGTGAGTAGTTAAGGATTGAGATGAGATCATACCAGGTTAGCATGGTATGGGCTGTAAGTCCAATACCTGGTGTCATTATAAGAAGAGGAGAGAGCAGAGAAAGAAGCCATGTGAGGACAGAGGCAGAGATTGGCCTTATGCAGCTATAAGCTAAGGAATGCGTCGGACTCCCAAGTGCCACTTAGAAGCTAGGAAGAGTCAAGGAAGGATTCTTCCCTAGAGCAAGCAGAGGGAGCATGACCCTGCTGACACCTTGATTTCCGACTTCTGGCCTCCAGACATGTAAGAGGATAAATTTCTGTTGTTGGAAGCCACCCAGTTTGTGACCTTGCCTTACAGCAGGGCTTGAAAACGAATACAACCCCCGAAATAGTTAAGCCACCACGTCCAGTTCCAGTGCAAGACTCCACAGTCCTCTCTCGCCTTACCCTGGCCATCCCTGCGCCTCCCTTCTCCAGCAGTGAGAATCCTGGCTCTCGCTATACTCATTGGCCTGTGTGCAGCCAATCCATGGGCGCTGCCCTGCTGCTGCCAGACTCCTGCGTGAGTCCTGAGCCCCCACTCACCCGCCTGTACCTCCTGCTCCGGCACTGTCCTCACACAGCCCCAGGCCCCCCGGGGACAGGCCTGTGTACCCCGGAAAGCTGGTACCTGGACTATGTTACAATGGGAAACCATTATACCATCAAAAGACACCAGTGAGTGAGTAAAACCACTGGCCAGGGACGGGAGAAGGTATTTGTACTACATTTTAGCAGTATTGAGAGAAGGTGAAGAGATGTAAATAAACACTGAGACGCAACCATTAACTCCTAGGGTGTGTCATACAAATGGAACCTTTATTTTCTATGGTCATAGGACATGAGTCTCCAAGAAAATCGAAATGAAATCAAAGCGAAAACAGAATGAACCTCGTTTATTAATGAATGGGCATTATAACCAAAAATCAACAGAAGGTTATCAACAGTGTCCAACTCTTGGGACAGAGAGGAAATACCATGAAAATGGCAGTAACAAACAACTGCAAAGTCAGAAGGAAGAACATTGGGTAACACTTGTGGACTGTGACCAAATCTAGACTTAAAATTGACAGCCATCCATGCTTTCACCATTTTAAAGAAGAAAGAAAGAAAATACAGTATTTATTGGAAGTTCGCTCTGGGTAGGGCCTCCCCATTAACATCGATCCACTCGCTCTTCCTCGTAATTGTGTGGTACCGTTACCTGCCTTTCATGGCCCTTTCTGAGTTGGACATTTTTCCGTGAACCTATCCTTATGAAATGCTCGACATTTCAAAAGTGGGCTGTGTTAAAGTCTCAAAGCATATGTAAACACACCAGCGTGGCTGCACAGGAGCAAGTGGTTCTGACACAGGGTGTAAGCAGGAGTCAGGGGAGGTGCTCGTTGCCACCTTAGGGAAGCATGTGTGTGTTGCTCCAAGACCTAGTTAGTGGGAACGAACCAGCAGGACCACGTACATTTCCACATGAGGGAAATGGTGCACAGACACAGATGGCTGGGGCACATCTCTTTTACTGGGATGCCGACCCAGGATCTCATGGGATTCTGACACTCCTATGTTCCTTACTTAACCCCTATGCTGTGGCTGGCTAAGGATGACATTTTCATCACAGCCATCAAACAAATCATTTTTTTCGAAGACAAAAAAATCAAACCTAGGACAGTGGTGAGAGCTGGTGAATACTCTGGAATTTATATGCTTTGGAAGGTGGGTTTTAAACATAAGAAAACACAAAACTATCCTTATGGATAAGCTCAAACAAAACTGTTTTGCCAAGACATCCTAGCGTAGGCTAAGACTTTGGTGAATTAGTGTTCGTTTGTGTAGGAGATGCTTCCCTCAAGAAATGCACAGAGGACTCTTCTTTAAAGTTGGTGCACATAAAACCTGCTTTCCTTATGAAGCTTCTACAGCCATGGCTACACTTCTATGGCTTCTTCCCTGTGTGGTTTCTTAAATGAAACCGAAGGCTTGATTTCTGCCTATAGCTTTTCCCACAATACTCGCACATGAATGGTCTCTCATCAGTGTGTGTTATCTGGTGCATAGTAAGATCTGGGTGTCGACGAAAACATTTACCACAACTTTGACATATATGGGGTTTTCCACCTGTGTGGATTCCAAGGTGTCTTATAAAACTTACTCTACTACAGAAAATCATGCTACACTCATGACATTGGTGTCTTTCTTGTCCAGAATAAGTTTTAAGGTGTAATGCAAGGTATGACCGTTGCCTGAATCGCGTCTTACACACACTGCATTCAAAAGGCATCTCCTCTGTGTGACCCTGATGATGCCTCATGAGGTCTCCGGGACTTTCCTGCTTCTGGGATCTGGGGCTGAGGGGCCCTTCCCTGCTGGAGCTTTCAGCTGCCTCTCCTAGAGAGGCGCTCTCATCATGCACAGGCACTGCGCTATCCCAGGGCAGCTGCTCTGCGGGAGTTCCCAACGGACTTTTCAGCTCTTCTGAGTGTTTGCATGAATTGGGCCCATTTCCATCTAAAGAAACAGAAAATGGATACACAGTTTCCAGTTTTTTCTGCCTGGACATATTTCTCTATTTTCTCTCCCCATACCAAAGCTTGCGAGAAGGAATAGACATTGCAGGAGCCACTGTGCTCCAAGGAGGATGGAGAGATGGGGACCAAGAAGAGTTATCCTCAATGGCTAGTGGGAAGACACAAAGTCCCAAGTGGCATCCCGAATGTCGTTACCCTGGGACTGGGGTCAATTGCCCTTTTCCTTCTTCCCAAGCATCAGTGAACCTGCACCTACCTGTCACGGAGCCGTGGACCCCTGGCATCCCTTCCTTGGGGTCGTGGAATTCCATCTCCCACGGCTCTTCTTGATGCCCTTCGGGGAGCCTCAGGTCCAGGTTCGGCCATGAGTATCCTGCCAGAGGAGGGATGGGGAGGAAGGGTAGGTTGAGTTGTCACAGGTTTCTCCATCGTCTGAGCTGCTTTCCTGCTCACGTAGCCTCTGAACACCTGCCTACTTCCTCCTCAGACAGGACTGCCTTACCGGGAGCCTCTGACAAGTTCTCGTTTTGTTTCATTTTTGTCTTTTAGGGTGAAGACAAACCCAAATTTAGGGACAAAACATCCTATTGTGTGCTCTCTGAAGGCAGCGCTGCTCCAACCTACGGAAGGAGAACCCAGCAGTTCGGGGGTGAAATGGAGGCGCTGAAGTAGTTCCACATCTGTTTCAAGAGTGGAATGGAATCACTTTGGTGATAGCAGAGCATGAGCTCAGTCTTCCTTAAGTGCTGGCGTATCATACCTGAGAAACACTGTCCTCTTGACAGCCAGGGAAGAAAGAGAGAGGCCTGCTCCTAGCACTGTCCCCCAGTTTGCCTTCCCCAACGTATGCTCACAGCCCTTGTCAGCTGAGGCCACGAACCATTCTCCTCTGACCCATGTCCCACCCCTCTGCCCGTGCTTCCATCCTCTACTCCTGAACATTCCATAAAATGACATCATGAATGCTGATGAACTGGGTATATTAAAGGTCTGAACAGGTGTCAGCCTTCCTTCTGTCTGCCAATACGGTGGGAACAGTTATGACTCTTAGCAACTGTCAGACAATGTGACAATACAGTAAATAAAGCAAGGAGGAAGGACCTGGCACTCTCATATGCCATGCTGGGAGGGTAAATTGAAACAATAATTTGGGAAGACATTTGAACATACCTATTGCAGTTTTAAATGCATATATGCCCACTAACCAACCATTCTTATTTGAGAAATTTGTCCAAATTTGACACATGCCCATGCAAGGCTGCCTGCTGTGTTTTATAGGGTATTATGGCTCCAGGGCATTTTGGTGAACAGTGAATGCCATCAGAGTCATGCCTCTATGCCCACTTCTGTAGGCAGGGCTCTTCTCTGTACCCGTGATACCATCCAGTCAGTGTTCCCACAGTAACCACCAGAGAAGTTGTTCTAGAAGTGGGCCTAAGGGTGTAAACGAGCCCTCTTTGCATTGGCCCCTCACCGGTTCATTTTTTCACTGTAGCCTGAGACTCCTTATCTCCAAAGGCCACCGGCACCAAACTCAAATTCTCACACATCCAATTTAAAAATTAGTCCCCAGAAGCAGACTTTTATCCATTTTGAGCCTGCCTGCTTTGCATATCCCAGAAAACCACACCCCACATCTGCTAGCCATCGAAAAGAGGGATCCTTGTGCTTATGGGAGGACCACCAAGCCACTGCTGCTGTTCAGAATTCTCTGACCCATAGACTCCGTGGGATGCTGCTGGGCTATGTGTGACATCAACCAGACTAGTAATTCCCTTTGGTGAGCCCTCGGTCCCTGGGGACTTCCCTCGTCCTCCTCCCCTTCTGACTTCTGACTCCCCCACAGGCAAACCTCACAGATGCCAAACAAGCTGTTTGTGCGCTACTGCCCCCTGCTGGGCATGACTTTTCCTTGCTCAGTCCCAGATCCTCAGAACCTGGACACCTGGTGAGGAGATGGGATTTGGTGAGCAGAAGGGAGATACAGGGGGGACATCCGAGTCAGTAGGACAAAGTGTATAATATCACTTGAAACAGTGATGAGAAAGGGGTAGTTTCCTTTCCTCCTCATTGGTGTATATTTCTTCTTTAATTCATTCTCTCTCTCTGGTTCAGGACATGGGACTGTCCTGTGCTTTAGACAGTAAAGTATTACAGTCAAGAGCATTATTGCTGCTCGACATCATACGTGAGCCTTGGACCTGCCACTGTTGCTAAGAGGGGCGAATTAACATGGGGACTGGAAATGCACACGCATAGAGATTTATAGTTAAACATGACTGAAAAGGTTCTGCCACTTGCTGCAGGCATACACAGAAAAAATACAGATTAAAAAACAAATCTGTAGTTAACAGACCAAAGATGTAGGTAAGGTAAAGATTGGAATACAAATGACAAAATTTTATATAACTCAGCATTGACCATAATAGAACCACATCGGTTCTTGTGGGGTTTCCTTTTGGTCACCTCTATTAAAAAGACAAGACAGAGTGCATGTCTACTACACGCCCAGTACTTGCCAGAGTAAGCTAAAAAACACAGTACCCAGACAACTGATGGAATGCAGAAAGAGGTACAAGTTGCCACCACATAATACACTATAACATTGTGAGTTGAATTCTGCTGGGTACTGGCACTGCATACATAACATGTGGTCCTGCGGGTAGGTCTGGAAGGAACCCAGACACTCTCTCCAAGGAGGTGGTAGAGTCTCAGCCATGCCCCTCCCCATAGGCAGCCAGACACCTGCAGAAGAGAGATGGCACTCAGAAAGGAAACCAGAAGAGATGGGAAAAAAGCCATAGGTAAGCCCAGAGCTAGAATATCAATAGGCTTCAAGAGCAAAGGGGTCAAAGGGTATAGGATATCTGTCCTCACACAGCCAGAGTGGTCACAGGAGAGCAAGGAAACCAGGCAAGGGACCTGAACGTTTGACAGATGTTTGAAGTTGGTGATCAGCTGACAGCCCACACACCTCACATGAAATCAGAACACTACAAGTGAGGCAGACAGGTGCCACACCTACTGCATGCCAACAGCTGGGGCACCCACACAGGAAATTGAGCTGCTGGGCACTAGAGGGCGCCTCATATCCAAATCTATTATCCTTTCAGAAACACTAAAAGAAAAACAAATGAAGACACAGAGGAATTTGATCCAAACAAAAATTAAAATAAAACAGAAGAAAGAGGGTTTAGTGAAATGGAAATCATCAATCTCCTAGATAAAGATTTCAAAATAAAAGGCACTAACATGCTCACAGATTTACAGAAAAGTATTCAACATCTCAGGGAGGACTTTAACAAAGAGATGGAAATCTTCAAAAAAAGCCTCTGAGAGCACTCACTATTCACAATAGCCAAGATATGGAAGCAACCTAATTGTCCATCAGTAGATGAATGGATAAAAAAGATATGGTACATATGCACAATGGAATATTATTCAGCCATAAGAAGAAAACAAATCCTACCATTTGCAAATAGAACTTGAGGGTATAATGCTCAGTGAAACAAGCCAGGCAGAGAAAGACAAGGACCAAGTGATTTTACTCATTTGTGGAGTATAATAACAAAGCAAAACTGAAGGAACAAAATAGCAGCAGACTCACAGACTGCAAGAAGGGACTAGTGGTTAGCAAAGGGGAGGGGCAGGGGAGGAGCAAGGGAGGGGGAAGGGAGGGGGAAAGGGATTGAAGGGCATTATGATTGGCACACATGGTGTGTGGTGAGTCACTGGGAAGACAGTGTAGCACAGAGAAGAGAAGTAGCGACTCTATGGCATCTTGCTACACTGATGGACAGTGACTGTGGTGGGTTTGGGGAGAACGTTATTATATGGGTGAATGTAGTTACCACCATGTTGCTCATGTGAAACCTTTATAAGATTGTATATCAAAGATACCTTAATAAAAAAAAAGCCACTCACACTTGAAGTACAGTATCTGAAATGAAACATACAATGGAGGGTTTTGAAAGTAGATTAGATGAGGTAGAGGAGATGATAAATAAAACAGAAATTAGAGAAAAGGAAAACAAAGAAGCTGAGGCACAGAGAGAAAAAAGGGTTTCTAGGAATGAAAGAACACTAAGAGTGCTGTGTGACCAATCCAAATGGAACAAAATACACATTATAGGGGTAGCAGAAGAAGAGACAGAAAAAGGGATAGAAAGTGTCTTTGAGGAGGTAATAGCTGAAAACTTCCCCAATCTGGGGAGGAAAATAGTCACTCAGGTCATGGAGGTGCAGAGATCTCCCCAACAAAAGGGATCCTAGGAAGACAACACCAAGACATATAATTGAAATGGCAAAGATCAAGGAAAAAGAGAGAGTATTGAAAACAGCCATAGAGAGAAAAAAATATCACTTATAAAGGAAATTACATCAAGCCATCAGCAGACTTCTCAGCAGAATCCTTACAGACAGAAGGGAGAGGCATGATATATTTCATAAAATGAAACAGAAGAGCCTTCAACCAAGAATACTGTACCCAGTAAGATTATCATTTAAATTTGAAGAAGGGATTAAACAATTTCCAGATAAGCTAAGGTTTAGGGAATTTACCTCCCACAAACCATCTCTACTGTGAATATTAAAGGGACTGCTCTAGATAGAAGTGCTCCTACAGCTAAATAGCCGTAACCAGAGAAAATAAAACCACGGTAAAGGAACTAGACCATTAATCACTACGCAAATACAAAATTAAACCAACTACTCACAAAGGTAGTCAATGGATACACAAAGAGTACAGAATATGACACCTAATATACAAAGAGTGGAGAAGGAAAAAGAGGAAGGGGAGAAAAAAAAAGAACCTTTAGATTGTGTTTGAAATAACATGATAAGCAATTTTAGATAGCAAGGAAACTATCCTTCAACTTTTCGTAACCACAAATCTAAACCTACAACGGAAATAAGTACATACCTATTAATAATCACCCTGAATATAAATGGACTGAATGCACCAATCAAAAGACATGGGATTGCAGAATACATAAAAAACACAAGACCCGTCTATATGCTGTGGACAAGAGACTCACTTCACCCCAAAGTCATACACAGATTAAAAGTTAAGGGGCAGGAAAAAATATTTGATGAAAATAATAGGGAGAAAAAAGTGAGACTACAGTACTTACACCAGACAAAATAGATTTCAAAACAAAGTAACAAAAGACAAAGAAGGACATTACATAATCATAAAGGGGTCAGTCCAACAAGAAGATATAACCATTACAAATATCTATTCACCCAATATAGGAGCACCTAAATATGTAAAAAAAATACTAACAATTAAAATGGAAAATAGAATGCAGTGCATTCATTTTAGGAGAATTCAACACAATACTCACACCAAAAGAAAGATCAACCAGACAGGAA